ATAGTTAGTCAGGGTGAGAATCATTCCAATTAACTGCTAGATTCAAAAATCTTCTGGAGATTCTCAGGATCATTGCCTTGCCCATCTTCTACATATAACTGTATGGCTTGACACTGTTATGTTTCCTAGCTCTTCTCCTTTCACTCTCTTGATTAGTTAGTCCTCGAAATCCTGCTTTACTTTTACTTGTATTATACTTTTCTATTTGCATTTCTTCTTTTGAGTTCTTATACTAGGGAAACTATATGATATTTACACCTGTGTGTCTGGTTTATTTCACTTATGAGTATATGTTCAAGTGGCATCCACTTCAATATAAAGGCTTCGAGTTTATCATTCCTAAAGCTGAACAATACTCCATTGTGTAAAAATACCACATCTTTCTCAACCATTCCTCAGGTGATGGGCATCTTGGTTGTTTCCAAGATTTAACTATCACAAATTGTGCTGCTATAAACATAGCACACATATATCCCTATGATATGATGTTTTCAGATCCTCTGGGAAAATTCCCAGTAGAGGAGTAGCTGGTTTAAATGGGATTTCTAGGGGCTGGTCAGATGGCTCAGTAGTCTAAAGCACCTACTTGGAACAAGCTTTAGCAAAACCCAGGGACCACAGTTCGATCCCCCAGCACCACATACCAGCCAGCCCGCCCCCTGGTGGGCTGAGCTGGCCCCCCCCCCACACAAATAAATAAATAAAATTAAAAAAAAATAAATGGGATTTCTAGCCCAACTTTTCTAAGGAGTCTCCATACTGATTTTCATAATGCTTGCACCAGTCTACATTCCCACCAGCAATGGAGAAGGGTTCCTTTCTCCTCATAGCCTCTCCAACATTTGTTGTTGGGTGATTTCTTAATGATAGCCATTCTTTCTGGGGTGAGATGATATCTCAGTGTTGTTTTAATTTGCATTTCATGGATGGCTAGTGATGTAGAGCATTTTTTCATATATTTATTCACTTCTTTAATTTCATCCTCTGAGAAGCTTGTGTTCATCTCAGATGCCCATTTCTGGATTGAGTCTTTAAATTTTGGGGCTCTGAT